CGGGTGGGCGGAGCAGAGAGGCCTCGCCGCCGCCGCCTCCTCCCCCACCCCGGAGCCGGCAGGCAGGGCGGGAGGCGGGCGGGGGGGAAGACCGGCCTCAGGGGGGGGCGAACACAGGCCTCGCCGCTGCCGCCGCCCCCGCCGCCTCGGGGAGATGGGGGGGATGGAGGAGACGGGGCTCTTCTCTCTCCCCCCCCCGCGAGTATCGCGGGTCCCCCTCTTGTGCTTATCTAATTCCCTTTTGAAGCCGTCCATGCTTGTAGCCGCCACCACTTCCTGTGGCAGTGAATTCCATGTGTTAATCACTCTTTGAGCGAAGAAGTACTTCCTTTCCCTTCCCCTCCCCACAACAGACACCCTGTGAGGTAGGTGGGGCAGAGAGAGCTCTTTCGAGAACTGCTCCTGGGAGAACAGCTCTGAAAGAACTTATGACTGACCCAAGGTCACAAGGAGTGTGGAATCAAACCCGGTTCTCCCAGATTGGAGTCCGCGCTCCTAACCACTACACCAAACTGGCTCTCTCAAAAGACACGTTAATCAAATAGCAGCAAACGTGCGTTGCAGGTGGGTGGCTAAAGTGAGATTAATATAGTATACGCAGGGCAGAGCAATGTCAACCATGGGGGCTAAAGGGAAACAACATTCAGAGGCAGTAAAGCCCCTGAAACCAATGCCAGGAGGCTGCGTCAGGGAAGGGCATCAGCCTCCCTGCTGTTTGTTCACTCTCCAGGGCAGCTGGCTGGCCACTCTATGACACAGGATGCTGGACAAGAAGGACTACTGGTCTCATCCAGCCAGGCTCTTATGTTCTTAGCTGCTCTACTGGCAGACTGGAGGAGGAGGCGGCTCAGCGCCTCTCGGCAGTGTTATAAGGTTGGACTTGGATAAATGAAACTGCTGGTAAGGCTGCCAAGTCTGGAGCCAGGGTAGGTTTGCCCAAAGCACCGTCAGGTCACTTGCCAGCTGCAATTCACACTTAAGTTAGGATCGTTTATATGAAGAAAAAAAATAAAAATAGAGGCAAAGGTGTTTGTTCCATACAGCAAAGGTTTGAATGTCTGTGTAAAAGTCCCAGGTTCAATCCTTGCAGCTGGCAGGGCTCAGTGTACTTGAATTTAGTAAGAGGCTATTTGATAGGATATGACAAAATAGGTTCAATGAATTAAATTATGTCCTGCAAAATGCAACCATCCTCCAAAAGCAAAGACGACTCTTCTTCCTATTTCAAAAGCCCTAATAAGAGGGGGACAAAAATTAAAAGTCCCACAGGCAAATAAATTAAGTATGCAGGGCAACTGCTTAATTTTTTCTAAGTTTATCGTAGGGATTTTGCAGAACGTAGAAGATTCTTGGTGTGAACATAAGAGCCCTGCTGGATCAGACCAGTGGTCCATCTAGGCCAACACCCTGTCTCACACAGCGGCCAACCAGTTCCTCTGGAAGGCCCAACAACAGGGCATAGAGGCTGAGGCCTTCCCCTGATGTTGCCTCCTGGCTTTGGGTTTAGTGCCTCTCAATGTGGAGGTTCCTCTCAGTTATCATGGCTAGTAGCCATTGATGGACTTAGCCTCCATGAATTTATCTAATCCTCTTTTAAAGCTGTTTATTCCTGTAGCTAGCACTACATCCTCTGGCAGTGAACTCTACATTTGAATCACTCTCTGCGTAAAGTAGTATTTCCTTTTGTCCATTCTGAACCTACTGCCCATCAGCTTCACTGGATGCCCTCGAGTTCTAGTATATTGGGAGAGGGAGAAAAATCTCTCTCTGTCAACTCTCTCCACCCCATGCATAATTTTATAAATGGCTACCGTGCCTTCCTTAGTCGTCCCTTTTCTAAACTGAAAAGTCCCAGACTCTTCAGCCTTTTCTTATAGAGAAGGTGCTCTACCCCCCTCATCATCTTGGTTGCCCTCCTTTGTACTTCTTCCAGCTCTGTGATGTCCTTTTTGAGATACGGTGACCAGAACTGCACATAGTATTCCAAATGAGGCCTCACCATAGATCTACACCGGGGCATTATAGTATCGGCCGCTTTGTTCTCAATCCCTTCCCCTAATAATCCCTAACACAGAGTTTGCCTTTTTCACTGCTGCAGCACACTGGGTCGACACTTTCACTGAGCTATCCAATATGACCCCAGAGTCTTTTCCCCTCTCACTCGGCAAATTCACACGATGGACAAAGTGTA